TACAATTGAGAAATAATTACGTCAACCCTGAGTTCGTTATCTGGAAGTGGAGACTAACATCATATTTCCCTTCCTTGCATAAGAAGAAAGATATTTACGTGAAGAGTACACGCCTTGTCGGAACATACCTGTTATATTCTTGTCCCTCGGAACATCAACCAACAATGACGAACCTGTGAAGAGAGAACAATCAACAATCAAACACGCAGCCTTTAATCAAATCACATAATTAAACACAATTAAGGACTACGATTTACGATTACCCATGAGCACTTCTAAATCGAGACTAACAACATTGAAGCCAGCATCAAAGTAATGATCAAACATACGTCCAGGGGCATCAACATGAATACCAACATGAGCAAGTAACTTTATAAGCGAAAAGTTGTAAAGTGATCCATTTATCATGGCGGCATTGAGCGAAAGTTGCTGCCTGATTCCTTCCTCAGGCAGCACAGTTGGTGTTYCTGAAGTTATCCGATGTTAGGGTTTTTGCASCTTAAGAAGCCATACCAAAAGCCATTTGTAGCTCTGATAACATCAAGAAAGGGTTTAAAACTTCAATTATAGGAGTATGCAGATATGCAATTGATCAACATACGCTTTCAGAAAAAAGTTATCAACTAACTTGAATCGAATACATACCTTTTATATTCTTGTCCCCATTACATAAACCAACAATGTCGGACCTGTGAAGACAGAACAATCAACAATCGAACACGCAACTTTAAATCAAAATCACATAACTAAACACAATTAAGGACTACGATTTACRATTACCATTGATCACTTCTAAATCGAGGCTATCAACATCGAAGTCTGCATCAAAGTAATGATCAAACATAYGTCCAGGGGAATCAACATGAATACCAACATGAGCATGTAACTTTATTAGCAAAAAGTTGTAAAGATACCTAAGTTCCTTTGCATAAGCAAAATGAATAGTAGCCAAGTGGAAAATCTGCAATGCAATATAAACAGGAGGTGTATCTTGGGCATCTTTCTACACTTTCAGAAACATACGCTTTGAGTAGGGCTGCAATTAACCTCTCTGAATACATCTGGCCCTCAACAATCCTTGCAGGCCTGATGATTCAAAACATTAGACTACACCTTATGATAAACATAAAAGATTAAGGGGCCTTTTACCAAACGACTTACCCATGTTATTTAATAACCCTCCATAGGCAAATAATTAAGTCTCTGAGTATTTCAACTTGCAGGCATGGCCATTATATGTGTTGGATCACAAATCCATAACTCCCACGGAAGTACTCAACCAGATATTTCATTGTACCTCTCTCATCACTGGAATACTTATGCTTGAAAGAAAAAAAGAATGAAGTGCCATGGCTCACAACATAGCCAAACTAAACACAGCCATTGTGGCATTGTCAACAAGCATGATCAACGAATCATTACCTCCAAACTATTGATTATATGGCCTGCAGAAAAATCTAGAAGAAAAATTGACGGTATGGGAAAAGGATTTCAGAGAGTAAAATGCAACATACCAGAGGGGTTGATGGCATGGAAACTTGGGATGGAGATCGAATATAGAGATGGATATCACACAGATTCAGTTTCCACAGAAATCTTGATTAATAACATGGGTTCTTGCTTCTAATCTCTTGACGTGAAGCCATTGGTTCTTGTTGTCACAGAAGCAGCGGTTGAGAAGAGGAGCGGAAATATGGAGAGTAATTGAGGGTCGTGGGGAGAGAATTGAAGTCGGGAAGGAAGGTATCATATTCATATATATTGTATTAGATATGATATATGGGTAGGAAGGAAGTGAACAAGAAGAACATCGATGAGTAACGGATATAAAAGATTTGCTATTTAATCGCATTTAATGAAATTAGTTCAAATCCTTAAATATATTTCCCTTCTTCAATCAAAAATCTTAGATTTCAATCATTTCTTTTTCCTTTTTGTCAAACATTTCTAAAATTTTCTTAAAATGTATCTTGATTTTAATGTCTTATTTTATATTTTGGCTCTATCGATGTTATAATGCGATTTTATGTTATTTTGGAAAASAGAAAATGTTTTTATTTTATAATGAACTATAAATTTGAAGATATTATAAAATTTTTAAAAAAATAATCGATATTATTATCAAATTAACTATTTAAAAGTTATTGTTTMTATGTAATTTCTTTATTTCAAATTTTTATTATAATTTAATTAAAGTTTAACAAAGAACTAATTTATTTTTGGTTTAAGATAACAATTAAGTATTATGTTAAAACTCAATGATTTTCTTAATTATATTATAATTTTTTATACTTAAGGTGATCTTTATCATGTATTTAATTATGTTTATCTGCAGTTAGTTATACGAATTTAAACATGAAGTTTTAATAAGATGTATTCATGCACATTCTATTTGTTATCTTGAATTTTTAGTAATATGTATTAATAAACAATATTTCATGCATAAAAATTTGTTTTTAAAAGTTTTTGTCAAATATTTTATAATATTATATATATATATATATATAACAGAAAATTATAATTTAAACCTTATAAAACACTTTATAATGTGATTATAATTAAAAATTAATAATGACAAATATCATCATGCCATAAAGTTAGCTTCTATCTATCATTTTCATTTCCAAACCCAAAAAAAACATCATTAAAAACACAAAAATTAAGGTGTTTTCACTATAACATTAAACAAATGAAAATCAAGAATATTTGTCTTTATATTTGGAGGTCAAAAAAATATGTATATATAAATATAATATTAAGTTTTATAATCATATTATATATATATATATATATATATATTAAAAGTTTGATATATTAAGATGTTTTTTTATTAACATGGATATTCAACCTGTTATGCGAGCAGAGTAATCCCAAGGCGACCACCCACTTCACAGGTAGTCCGGAATCACTGCATTTGAACCTTCGAGGCCACAAGAGGATTTTTATTCCTTCTTGGATTAGAACTTGGGACCTCCAGACACTTTTGACCTTCGAAGCTCAAGCTCAAACTAATCTGGCACCATTTTTATGGTTATATTAAGATGTTTATTAATATTATAATATTAAAAACGGTGTTTTAGTGTTTTATATAGTGTTTGGTTGTAGTTGATTTTTTCCAGTGTTCRATGGACCCATATTTTTAATGTTTTTAGTGTTATTTTTTACTGATTAGGTGGGAGATGCAATCTAACTTGAACCAYTTGCCTGGTCCTTTTATGGGAATGAGGTTTTGCTGGGGAAAAAATCGTGGGTTTAGGTGTTTTGATTGTTGAGGCATTTTGATTGGTTGATGTAACTTCTAAATAGGTTTTTTTTAATAAACCTAAAYCTCATATGCTAAAGGAGAAGACTTAAAACCAGAAGCAAGTGTACAATTCAATGTCTAATCTTAAAACTAATTGATAGATTATGATTGAAATCGGGATGTCTGGCTYGCATAATGTTTTGTGGAAGAATGGAATTTGACCGTGTGTTTGGTTCGAATAAGTTGAAATGGGATTTGTTAAATGATTTGGAATCTACCTGTTTGGTTCGTAAAATGTAGCTTCAGAATTGGAACTAATAGACRATAAATGAGCAAAATCCCCTTTTTTCAATGATGGTGCTCGGTTGTGGTTCAAAACGATGGTTCAAATCGGTGGTGGTTCATAACGGTGGTTTAGATCGATGGTGATTCAAATCAGTGTTGGTTCAGAACGATGGTGGTCAACAGTGGTGGTTTAGATCAATGGTGGTCAGCAGTGGTTTAGATCGTTGGCAGTTGGCAGTAGTGGTTGGCGCTGGTTCAGATCGGTGGTGGTTARTGGAGGTTCAGAACGATGATGGTGGTCAAACGATGGTTCAAATCGGTGGTGGTTCAGAACATTGGTGGTCAACAGTGCTTCTAAACAGTGGTGGTTTAGATCGATGGTGGTCGGCAATGGTTCATATTGTTGGCGGTTGGCAGTGGTGGTTGGTGCTGGTTCAGATTGGTGGTGGTTAGTGGAGGTTCARATAGAGGCCATATGGGTTTGGGTAAATCAAGTAGGGAAGATGGAGATAGTTTTGTCTTTTTCARAAGATTGGATGAAATGGAACCGAATCCTTATCAATTGTGATGGAATGACCAAATCCAAAAATGATGGAATGTGTGGAACGCAGTTCCATTTCATAGATAAACCAAACGCTTGAATGGTATTTAGTCAATTGAATTGATCATTACATTTCCYTCAATTTTCATCGAAATCTTGTGAACCAAAACTGGGGCCAAATCCTCCACTTTTGGTTGCCACCACCAGAAGAAAAAGTGGTGGTGGCTTGATGAAAATCAAATGTTGTTTTAGTGAAATTAACGAGTATCAAAGACTAATAATACCACCTATTTGTCATACATATGGATTGTGGGTGAAACCAAGCTTAATTTGAGGTGTGATGGTGGCGATGCATACTAGATTAGTTCTTATATCGATAAATTAGGATTTGTGTATAYAAGTACTTATATATGTTAAACATGAAATCGTGTTATATGTGTATATAGTTATATCAATGACAGAATAGAAGAACAAAAAGACTAAGATGTCGTTTACCTAAACACTTACTCGGCAAGCACTTAACAGTCAAATTCAACGTTATCACTTACTTACGAGGTAAGATTTTAGTCTACCAAAACGAYATCGTATGTAACAACTTACCCGGTAAATGTTAACTGTGGTAAGAGTTATTGTCATCACTTACCGGGTAAGACTATTAGTCATTGCATTCACTCTTACCAGGTAAGATTCTCGGTTCTTATACAATTATAGAAAAAGAAAAATCAAGAAAATTTTAGAAGAAAAGAATGTTTGAATGTTAGAAATGCCACTAAATATTTGATACATATATTGTTTTTCTCAATAAACTGCTATCGAACATTCTTCGAAAGTTTTTTTAATGATTCTTCGAAATGTTTTTTTAATGATTCTTGCATATATTTGAAATTAATTATTAAATAAACTTGATTTCCAAATTGACAATGTAAATCTATATCCAATGAACCAAACTCATCAAACCAATCACTTGAGACTTAATTCGTCGTGATAGAAAAAGACGAATTTAGCCTGGATTATTTATAAATCTGTTAAAATTTACTTATCTATTTATCAACAATACTTTTTTATCAAATTAGCGTAGTTGTTACTATCCAAGTGCGAAGAAGCCCGGAGGCTAACAACTCATTCTCTAACAGGAAAAGCAACACATTCAAGATATTTTTCCATCGACATACGGAAATATATATTCAACCCATCAAACAAGATATTTTAGATATAATTCCATACTAAATTTGTGTAAAATAAAAATAATATCACGTCAATTTTTAGCCTTTTTAGGGACCGCAGAATCGTTTTCAATGAAAATTTTGCTTTCAAAATCCGCCCTCTTCAAGCTGTCGAATATAGATAGGAGATCCACTTCAATTTCTCTCCTCTCCCACCTCTCCAGCTTGGGAATAGTTATTTCTACTGACTATATATCTGTACAATACCAGTTCTTTTATTAAACGCTTACTTGGCAAGTACTTATCGGGTTACTTTATCTTGTCGAATGAACATGACAAGAATTGAGAAATTTTATCTGGTAAAAACGATAACAAGACCTGAGAGTCTTATCCTGATAATCCTTTATCGGATAAAAATGTTTCATAAAATGTCATTTTAATAGATTAAAATATTATCTGTTATCAGATAAACCTTGGGTACACGCCTCTTAATATTGATATATAAAAAATTGAGAATGGTGTAAATGTTAATTAAAAATAATAATGTAAAACATAAATTTGTGTAGGAATAGGATAATGAAATTTTATAATATAAAGTCTTTGACCCTTAACCGACCTTCCTTGAGTTCAATATCTTAATCATGTCGACTCATTAAATTGCCGCGTTCTTTGATTTTTTACATTTTTTTAAATAATTATATTATTATAATTGAATCGGAGTGGTTGATAATTAACTTTCGTCTAAATAATAATAACTGAATATTTTTATCATAATAAATATGTTAAATTATAGCATAGATATATGCTAATTATTGTATTAAATTTTATATATCGATAAAAAGTTATATCAAATAACATATAACATATTAATCTATATTACCTTATAAACCGGATTTATTAAAAGTTTTAAAAACAATTTTTAATGCACAAAGTCTTAAAAACAATTTATAATGCATTAAGTACTACTAATTTATGCATTTAGTCTTAAAATCTCTTAATCTCAATTAAGATAACATATAGTACAAATTACCAATGTACATTATTATCTTCTTTTTTCATGTTTTCAATATACTTTTAACACATTTCACTCATGTCTTCACCCTCTCATACCTCTATCCATGTCTTCACCCTCTCATACCTCTATCCATGTCTTCTCCTCATTCCCCAATATGAGATTCAAACTGATATTCACAATGAGTTATAAAAAGTTTTCTCATTTATCTCTCATTTAATTGCCCTATAACTCTCGGTCTCTTAATTCTTTGCTCTTGGTGTAAATCGAACACATTTGTGCAGTCGTTTAAATATATTGGATTTTAAACTGTCATACAATTTTTTTTCATCGATAGACTGTAATTAGAGCCATAATTCTTATTTATTTAAATTGTATTAATATGTAAAGATCATGTGTAACTTATATCATCGTTAAATTTTCTCTAATAAAACCAATGAAATTTCAAAATCGTTAAAATTCACGGCTCCCGTTGTATTGCACGAATAC